ACTGTAGGCGGTTTATCAGATTATGTGCAGCTGCAACTGTTGAAGCCACAAAAGCCTTTTTTCACATATACAGTATCTTTGATGTGTAAAATTGGTGAATTGGTCATGTCGTCAAGTCTCTTGTTGTTTGTCTCCATAATTAGTTTCACAAAGCCTTGGAAGCTTTCTTGCTGTTGGCACATTAGTGCGGTGTACATCAGCTTCTGCTGATTCACCATCTAAGCTACTTGCGCCGCTGAAATATAATCCTCTTCTGCTTCAACATCCTCGTTTGCTTCTGATTTATTAGCTCTTTTCCCTCTTGGAGGCATTTTAATAGTTGTAGAATTTGTTGTAGAATTTGTTCAAAGACTTGAAAATGTAGAAGATATGAAAAATCGTAGAACAGGCAAGAGGAGCAGTAAAGACGTCTGCTCTCGCTTACAACCCGAAAAAAAGTACATCAAACTTTTAAAAGTACACATTTTGCTGAAACTCAACTGCTGGGACTGATAGAATTACATTTTTAATACTGATGCATCAAGGTGAAAGAAGCATTTTACTGTTGTACCTCAATGCAGAGCTAGTTTTATTTACTTTATATACAGTACAGTGAGGTACTGTAGGCAGTTTATCAGATTATGTGCAGCTGCAACTGTTGAAGCCACAAAAGCCTTTTTTCACATATACAGTATTACTCCTGTAAACGGTCTTTGATGTGTAAAATTGGTGAATTTCCCCTGTGACAACATCTGTTCAAATACAGACTATGCATTTGACTATGAATGGTGTTCCTAATATTCCAACCCTCTCATGTGTGTATCTGGGCAGGACAAAAATACAGATACCTCTGAATATAATGTAGCCCAGTACAACACCACCTTTACCTATAAATTCAATAATAAACATAATTGAGTGTATACATTTATGACAATTTCACCATGAACTGAAACACATGACCCCATTCAGGGATTAAGCGGTAGAAAATGAATGAATGAATGTATTATCTTAAAATAAAATAGAATAGTTCTTTTCATAATCTCGGAATTGAAGTTGTAATGGAAATACTATATCAGCACCCTTATTAGTGTATTGGCTGTTGCTATGCAGTTATTTTATGCAGATATTTGTGTGCTTGTTTACTGTGTCAGCATGTCTGTAGAGATAAACATGCCTTTGTGTGAATGTTGAACACGTGTGTGTACAAAATGAGGATACAGCTCTCCACTCGGGGAGCCTCTCCTTCAGACTGTTTAGACACTCTGTCCAGAGATTGCTCCTTTCTGCAGAAATAAATGTGTAACAACTTTCAGAGTTTATGTTAAGTCTTTATTTTATACTCACTGAGCCTTAA